TCCACCGCATCATCCTGGGCAGGGCCTAGGCCCTCCCCCATGTGTCCAGGCCAAGAGTGCTTCGCTTCACATGGGATGGGCTCTCAAAGTCCATTCTTACACCAGGGAAAATAATCCACTACCAGGGGCCCCAGTTGCAGAGAGGGAGGAATGAAGATCAAAGGGCTTAGGACCAAGCTGATGAAACCCACAGAAACAGCTGGCCTGAACAAGGGGGAGCACATGGACCCCAGACTAATGTCTGGGAGGCTAGCATGGGAAGGATCCAGACCCCTGAACAATGGATGTCAATGAGGAGGCCTCCGCACTCTAGGGGGCCCCTGGTAGTGGATTAGTATTTCCCTGCTGTAAGAAGGGACTCTGAGAGCCCATCCCCCATGAAGGGATGCTCTCTTGGCCTGGATACATGGGGAGGGCCTAGGCCTGGCCCAGGATGACTTGGTAGACTTTGGGGAGCCCCTGTGGAGAGCCCTACCCTCCCTGAGGAGTGGAGGGGGGGATGTAGTGGCATGTGAAGCAAGCTTGTTCCTAATTTGAAATAAAAATAAATAAAAAAATAAAAATATCTTAAGGAAAAAAAATATACCATGGCTGCTTATATCCATGGGATGCTACCTGTATCAGAAGAGAAACAGTGGAGAGATGAATGGACAGTAGGAGAGGAGGGGTACTGGGGTGAGGGGAGGCATGGAACAAAACAAAAAGTCCAAGCCCAGTGTGACTGGCTGTTCTAGTTCAGTCCGAGGTCAGCATATTCTGACACATACTAGTTGGTCATAACCTTCCATTAGTAGGACTAAAGCTTTTTCACGCCACAGAGGCAAAGCTGAGCTGTTTTAACAGAGGTCTTCTGACCTAAAAAGCCAAAAATATTTACACTGTAGCATTTGCTGAACTTGGCTTTAGTGACACCTTTATTGATTTAAAGACAAACTGACAAACATGAAACCTTTGAAGTCTGCCTCCCATGAATATGGTGTTGCTGTTGTACAAGGCAGCTCCTATGGCAACAGCAAGCAGTGGGAAGGGATCACATTAGCCTTACTTTGATTACTTTCATGTTGTAGAAAGGTAGGCTCAGTGGTCCTTAAATTTAGCAAGCATTTGGTTATTCACTGGGAAACTAGTTAAAATGGGGCTCCACATTGAGTTCCTGGTTCAGTAAGTTATAGATGGAGTCCAGGAATGCACATCACTAACAAGATCCCATCTTGGGGTTCTGGTTAGGACCACTTTTGCTAGCTACTATTTAGCTTTCGAAATATTATTCCTTCATAAACTTTAGCAAAATCTGGATGGATGGTAGATGTTTTGTAATGTCTTCCGAAGAGCAGATGGCCTGATTTGTTTTTACAGCCCTTTTGAACTATAGTTTACATATCATTAAAATTTAACCACTTCGGGCTAGAGACATAGTTCAGAGGTTAAGCACTTGCTGCTCTTCTAGAGGTCCTAAGTTCTATTCCTAGTAACCACATGGTGGCTCACAACTTCTATAGTGGGATCTGATGTCCTCTTCTGACTTAAAGTTGTACATGCAGAAGGAGCACTCATATACATAAAATAAATAAATCTTTAAAAAATTAACTATGTTAAATTTGAATTTCAGTAAATGCTGTAGTTGCACATCCACAACCCCTCCAGTGTACAACAATGCCACTGTATTGAAAGCTCCCTCTTACTGTTAATCTATTCTGCTTGTTCTCTATTTATATATGCATATTTAAAATTATTTAACTATTTTGTCTGTATGTGTGTTTGATCTGAATGTATGCATCACATAGGTGCTTGCTGCCCATGGAGGCCAGAATTGGGTGCCAGATCTTCTGGGACTGGGGTTACAGATAGTTGCAAACTGCCAATGTAGGTACTAGGAATTGAACCTGGATCCTTTAGGAGTAGCCAGTATTCTTAACCACTGAGCAATCCCTCCAGTCATTATATATGCATAGTTTAATAGTATTTTAATGCCTGCTATAAACATTTTATTTGAAATGAACTATTGATAATTTTATGTCAGTATTATAAATAATAGGCTATACAAATTTGAAAAAATGTTTCTTTGAGATAAAAAGACATAGATCTTAGTCTTCATAAGATTTCTATATTTACTTTTATTGGCATATCAAATTAATATTATTCCTAGAGTCAGTTGAAAAATGAAATAAGAAGACTTTACTTTTGTTGGGCAGTTGAGATGACTAATGGGTAAAAGTGCTTGCTGCCAAGCCTGATGACCTGAGTTCAGTCCCATGTGATGAAAAAAGAGAAGTGGTCCTCTGACCTCGGTACCCTCATACTCACTACACAGAAGTGCATAAATGTAATTAAAAGGCCTTTATCATTTGGTCTTTGAAATATTCAGATATAGATGAAATGTAGGAGATAGCTTAAAGGATTCTGTGTGCCAGTCTGACCTGATTTCAATCAGGTTGGTAGTTTGGCATTCTTTCTTTATCTTGACTGGCCTTCACCATCTATTTGTTTCTGGTACTTCATACTCAGTCTTGAAATTGTGTTGTTTTTCCAGAAATATTTCTTCATATGTTACATTATGCTAATAAAACTAAATTTTGTAGGAAAGTAAATGACAAACCCTTGTATATTGTGATTCATTTTGTCAATTTTCAAAATATTAAGTTGGCATCCCAGCAACCTTTGAGTGAATGTGACTGAGTCTTCATGTTTCATTGTGGACTCATGAAATTCATGTCCTCCTTCCTTGTAACTTGCTTCAGCCGTTGTTTAGTTGTCATACTGCTGATAGTTGATTGGATTTCTAAAGTTTGCTCCTGCCCTTTGACCTTTGTTGTTAACATTTAAATATGTCTTCATTCCCTTCTATATACGTTTTTAATAATTTAGTATGTCCAAGACTTATGTATACAGTATTTCAGTCATTATTTCCTCGGGCAAACCCAGCTGATCAGTGAGAATCACTCAGAGGTCATAACCCAGTGCTAGGGAGCTTATTTATTTATCCCAGGAAGTTGTTGATCCTAGAAGTTTTGTATTTCTTTCACCTTGGTGCCTGATTTGACATTGTTCTAGTATATACTCAGTCTTAGTTCAAGATTGTGTGATATTTTGGCATATGTAAAATAACATAAACTCAACTGAATTAAGTTTAGCATTCCTTCTCATTCCTTCTCACTGGTACTTAGTGAGACTGGCTGCTGTTTTCATGGGTCTTATGAGATGGCAGAGAAGAGTAAACGTTAATGGGCTAAACTGAAACTGTGACTCAGTTTTCTAATGATATGACAACATATTTGAGAAACTTACAAGAAGGATAATTTTATTTTGGCTTAGAGTTTTAATAATTCAGTCCAGGGTCACTTGGCCCTGTTGCCTTTGGACTTGTGGTGAGAGCTTATGACCAAAGGGGCCTTTCCACCTCTTTGGTGGTGGAGTGTGATGCCCAGAGAGAAAGAGGAGGGACAGAGGCACACCTCTATGTGACCTGACTCTCCACTAAGCTCTACCTCTGCAGTGGTTTCCACCATTTCCAACAGTGCCCATCTGAGTATGTAGTTGTTTACAGTTGGGCTTCTGGGAGGTATTCCAGATCCAAGCTATAGCAGAAGCAACACCTGGATGAAGTGCAGAGGGACACAGAAAGTATTCACTCTGCTGGCAGGGGGTGCTCAAGCAGTGTCTCACACACCCAGCATTTGTGCTGGGCATTAAAAGAAACAGCCAACTGGTTGTACACAAGATGAAGAATAGTACTTTCAGAGAGAAGGAAAAATTATGTATCAAGGAGGCAGGACAGCTGTTTGGGAAACCATAATTGAAGTGGAGAAAGGGAATAGATGGAGCAAATCAGGAAAGATGAGCTTTTGCACTGTAGGGTTCTGAGTGCAGGCGGGTCTCATGGGCTCTTCAGAACAACTGGTGAACATGAGAGAAATCTTAAGAGGAAGGGCAGCATATGGGTAAGTTCAGTTTTGACTTGACAGACTTGGAGATATATGCAGATGGTAAGTACTTGGTATTATTTGTGGAATGAAAGAAGAAACAGGTGTGAATCACAGGGAACCGAAATAGAACCTGCATGTTAGCCACTGGTACTTGGCCCATCTTCTGGCTCACTGTCTTACCATAAGATTTTCATGGAAATAGCTCAAAGCAAATAGCTCAGTAGAAAAATAGCCAAAGCATAGTTAGTGGTAAGCTCACAGAAGGGGAAATCTGAAAGGTTAAGTAGGTCTGTGTTAACATGTTCAAGGTCACTGTAACTATCCAGGATATGCAAATAGCATTCTGATCCTGTGATGGAAAAGTGCTTAAGTCTGAAGAAAAACTGGTTTTGACTTGGATGTTAATTCACAGTGTTAGCTGGTGAGCCATTGTGGAGAGTGGTGAATGGTCAGCCTTGAGAAAGTCAGAAGACCTACTTTGATGACATTTCCATTCATATAAATCCTGGAAAAGGGTACACCAGTACAAGAGACATGTTCATCTTACAGAATGAAACAAAGTATGATGTCCTATGTATAAAGTCAAATAAGGAAAATAGTATCATTGTATATATGTAGTAACAGATTAAAATACTGAGTTTTAGAGCTTGGTTATCTCTAAGAGGGGTAAGCAGGAAGGAAATTGAATTGTAAGCCTATTATTTATGCATTTGTGCATGTGTCTGGATGCATACTCCCCACAGCATATGTCTGGATGTGAGAGGACAACTTGCAGTTATCTGTCCTCTCTCTGCACCATATGTGTTCTGCAGTAGAACTTGGGTCATCAACCTTGATAGAAGGTTCATTGACATGCAAACCAACTTGCCTGCTTGCAATGTTGTATAAGTAGATAACAGTTACCAAGTATACTTGGTAAGATATTTGAAATGTTTCAATGAAAAAATCTTGTGCCTATACAATTTCAGACTTGTCTTTGCTCTCAAAGTAAAATATTTTTCTAGCATCTAAACAAGTTAAAGAGCTACTATGCAGATTTGACTGATAAATGAGCTTAGAAGCTATTTGATCTTTCAGAAATGACTTCAGCAACAGAGACTCACACAATGCCCTCTGTAGTTCCTGCATCTCCCAGGATTCATCCTGCATGGACTCCCAAAGCATGTCAAATGCCTTGGTTGCAAGTTCCTAACAGAACACTGAGATTTTATCCTGTTGTCAAAGAACCAAGAGCCATTGATGTAAAGGTAAAAATGACCAGGAATATGAGGTCTGCATTGGATATACTCTTACAGTGCAAGAGAAGGTTTCTTATCATGTGTATCTCTATATTGTAACAATTCACTTTAAAATGGTATTTACTGTAGTGATGTTTTCTCAGGCTAAGAAGTACCTTCTTTTAAAGAGTCATGTGATAAAAGACAATTACAGTGTAGTGAGTTATTCTGTGTTTTCCTTTAGCCTTATGCTCAAACCAAGACAGAGTCCTTGCTAAGCTTTGCAACTTGTGTGTAAGATGTTTGGGTTTTGTGACTTCATGTGATTTCACAATGTGCCCTCTGCAGTGTGAAATGTGTAAGTTGGTTTGCAGTCAGAGGGTTTTAATTTCCTTGTGAAGTTCATACTACCAAAAGAAATTGCAATGTTTGACTTCTTTTTCTTTAGAGTCCACGAAAGAGGAAGACGAGTCACAGCACAACCCCCCCTCTAGAGTGTCACGTTGGGTGGGTGATGGATTCCAGGGACCATGGGCCAAGACCACCCTCTGTCAGGTACCTGGTTGTCAGCCACTGTCTTATGCTCAATTCAAGCTATTTGGAAGGATTTGAAAATTAATATATAGAGAATTATAAAACAGTGAGCAATCACAGAGCAGGGAAGAAGCAGAGCTCTGTAGGAAGCACTTGGAGGAGAGACTTCAAGATGGCTCTCCAGGGGGTGCACAGAGAGAAGACTTCAATGTCACAGCTTGTTTTCATTTCAGTTCTTCTCACAAATGGGGATTGTTAGATTTGTAAATGGTGTGAGTGCTGGAAAGTTTCCTTAGTAGGAGCCTAGATTCTTCTTAATAGTAAGTAGGTTCCTGGGAGGTGCTAAGAAAATTTTTGTGTTAAACAGTCTTCTCAAACTATATTAAAAATATAGAAACAGAATATTTTTAATTTTGTTTTCTTCTTTGGAAGAAACAATTTAGATAATTAGCAGTATATGTATATATTTTTCTTTTAGTTTTAACTTTAAGAAGACCATTATTTATCTCAAAATAGGTGAAAATATAAGCCATTACCGTGTTTTCTATTTAAAACCTATTCATGTGCCCCTGAGATGGCTCACTGGGAAAAGGTTGCTGCCATGAAATCTGACAACTGTAGTTTAGCCCCCAGAACTTATGTGGTGGAAGGACAATCCCTCTAATATCATGGCATGTGTGTAGGTGAGCCTACACACACACAGTTAAGTATAAAAGAATCAAAGAAGTATAAAAGAATCAAAGTCTATTTCATATTTGTAGTAGATATTTTCAGAATTAGTGTCTGATCATTTTTTCTGTTTCACACTAAATTCTACTGAGCCATTTGGTGGGCCCCAGAAAGATTAATTTTATGAAAACAAGTGCTAGGGATTTCATCTTGAATTCGAAATCCTGAAGCTTACTTTTTTGATACCTATTTGGAATGCTTTTACACTGCTCTCATTAAATAATTGTCTTTAACAGATAAAATATGTGTGCTGTTCAACACACTGCTTTTGAAGGGTTTTAATCCTTGAGTGGGTTGTTTTGTTTGTTTATTTTGTGTGTGTGTGTGTGTGTGTGTGTGTGTGTGTGTGTGTGTGTGTGTGTGTGTGTGTTTGTGTGTGTGTTTGTTGCTTTGTTTTAGCTTGTTTAGAGATCAGTAGGGAATGGTCAGTGACATTTAGTTTAGGTAGAATGTGGTTTTTTGTTTGTTTTGTTTTGTGTTTTGAGACAGGGATTCTCTGTGTAGCTTCCTGTCCTGGCACTTTGTCTTTAAAGCAGGTTGGCCTCAAACTCACAGAGATCTGCCTGCCTCTGCCTCCTGAGCACTGGGATTAAAGATGTGCACCATCACCACCCGGCATATTTTTCTTGCTAATAATAAACATTCATAACTTGTCTATTCCCTTTCCTACCCCACACTTTGTCACAAATATGGATGGTGATGATGAATTTAACATCTGTCCACTCTTAAATGCAGGTTACTACCAGTGTTCCCACTAGGTATACTTCCTTGTGTCATTATCTCCTGTTGAAGCTGCTCTGTCGAATACTCACATAGCTGTTTATTTGTCATATTTTCCTGTCTTTTGAAACAGTATCACTTTATGTAGTCAAGATTGTTGTTTTGTTTTTTGTCTCACTATGTGACTCAGGCTGTCCTCTAACCTCAGCCTCCATATGTGAGAGGTTACAGTTATGAACTACAAAACCTGACTTTGTCAGATTCTCCATGGCATTTAGAGTCACACACGTACAAAAACATACATTTGCATACACATAATATTTATCCTGTTCTGTTTCTCTGATAGTGGTGGTTTGATATATTATTCAGTTAGGAAAAATTCCTACTGTATATTTTTTTTAAATGATGAGTTTCTGTGTATCATGTATATTTAGGAGCCCATGTAGACCAGCAGATGGCTTGGTTTACCTGAAACAACAGGTAGTTGTGAGCCACCATGTGGGTACTGGGAACTGAACCTGTGTCCTCTGCAAGAGCAGTAAATGATGTTAACCTCTGAGCCATCTCTCCAGCCCCTTTTCTCCTCTTTTGCTTTTATTTTGTATTCACAATATACATATGTCATAGCATTTATGTCTCAGTGCTCTTGTATCTCTGATGTTTAACTTACTTCCCTGCTCTTTCTCATTGTAGTCACTTTGACTACTTTTGATCTATGTTTAAACATGCATACTATTTTCTCCTCAGCAAGTTTTCTGTTTACATATGGCGCTCACTTTTTACATTGGGTAGTGGTGGTGGTGATGGTGGTGGTGGTGGTGGTGGTGGTGGGGGGTGTGTGTGTGTGTGTGTGTGTGTGTGTGTGTGTGTGTGTGGTGTGTGTGTGTGTATGTCTTACTATGTAACCCAGGCTAGCCTAGAACTCACTATGTAGACCAGGCAGGCCTCAAACTCAGATCACCCTACCCCTGTCTCCCAAGAGCTGATGATAAAGGTGTGTGTTCCCACCTGGCAACAGATCTTTAATATTTAATGATAATTACTTTAAAGTTCATTTCATGATCATATCAATGGTGACCCTGAGCTTGGCTCTGGCTGTAGCTATTGCATTACCATTAGGTCCTTAACTTTGACCAAATACAAGATAGTTACTGCTGACTTTTGTTTGTTTTTGCTTTTAATATCCATCTCTTTGCTGTTTTTTGTTTGTTTGTTTGTTTTTAAGATAAGGTCTTTCTTACATAACTCAGGCTGGCCTCAAATCCAATATGTATCTGAGAATGACCGACCTTGAGCTTCTGACTTCATGCCTGTACTTCCTGTGTGCTGGGATTGCAGGTGTGTGCTAGAGACTGAACCCAGAACCCGGTGCACTCATGCTAGGCAAACATATCAATGGAGTTCCAGTCCCAGCCCCTCTCACCATTCCGTTTGCCCACCCACATCCTTACTGAGGTGGTGGCTGCATATGATCAAAATACATTGTATGGAATTCTCAAAGTGTTAATGAAAATATATACTACATTTTAACTAGAAAAAGAAGACAAAGCTAAACCAAAAAGAAATAGTAGAGCAGAGCAAAGAATAGCAACAGAATTTTAAAAAATAGAGAAAATCAAGAACTGAACATTGACTCTTTAAAGAGACCAACAAAACTGACAAAATTCTAAACTGGCCAAGATATAAATGGAAATACACAAAATAAAAATTAGACATTAGGGCCAGGTGGCACATGCCTTTAATCCCAGCACTCCGGAGGCAGAGGCAGGTGGATCTCTGTGAGTTCGAGACCAGCCTGGTCTACAAGAGCTAGTTCTAGGGCAGCCTCCAAAGCCACAGAGAAACCCTGTCTCGAAAAACCAAAAAAAAAATTAAATAAATAAATAAATAAATTTAGACATTAGGAGCTCAGAAGATGGATGAGTGGGTAAAAGCACTTGCTGCACGCACATGCATGAGGGCCAGCATTTGAGCCCCCAGTGCCCACATGAAAAGCTAGATATGGCTGTATTTGTTTAACTTCATCACTGTCTCTGAGGGAGACAGACACACAAGAGCTTGCTGGCAGCCAGCTAGCTCCAAGTTCAGAGAAGAGACCTTGTCTCTCGGGAATATGGAAGAGAATGACAAAGTAGGACACCCAATATCCTTCTGGCTTCCAGTCATTCCCACTAAAAAGGAAATGACCACACTACTGTGTTCCATAGCTGTGGTAGGGTGGAACTGTGCACTGGGCTTATGCAGTGGGCCTGTACTGTGAACCTGTGCTGTGGGCCTGTGCTGTGGGCCTGTGCTGTGGGACTGTGCTGTGGGACTGTGCTGTGGGCCTGTACTAGACCTGTGCTGGGCACAGGCAGTAGCATATCATGACAGGAGTGCATGACAGAGCAAAGCCACTTTCCCCATGGTCATGAAGCAAAAGAGAGAAAAGAGGAGGCCAGGTCCCATCATCCCCTTTGCAGACTTATGACCTAAAGACTCTCCATTTAACTCTACCTCTAAAGGTCCCACTAACTCCCAGAAGCACCACACTGGTGATAGAGGCTTTGGAAACACTCAACATCCAAACTATAGCAATACTTTTGGCTGAATTAGGAAGAAGGAAAATCTCAACTGATCTGTAATAAGAGATTGAATTGATAATCAGGAATTTCCCAATAAAAATTTTGGACCAAATGGCTACATCAGTGAATTCTACCCTGCATTTAAAGAAAACAAAATTGCAAGCCACTGTCTCATTTTTTTCCTGTCTCAGTTCTGTCTTTTTCCTTTACTGATTATAGCCACTATCTCTTTTTAAGATAGACACTTAGGTCATTAAAAAAAGTACTAGCAAATATAATTAGGTAGCACATGAATAGAATTATTGACTATGGCCAGGAGAGTGGCATCTCATAACATAAAAATAAATATATAAAATCTATCATATTAATAGGACGGAAGAACAAAAAACACACATGGTCATTTCAACTGATATGGCCTATTATGATTAAAAACTCAGAAAAACAGGGGAAAAATGACATGTTCTCGATGTGAAAATAGAAATAACATTGTATTCAGTAGTGAGACATGGAAAGCTTCCTACCACCGAAAGGAATCCTTGCTGATCCTTGACACTGTACTGAAGGGTCTTGCCAGAGCCAGAAGACAAGAAAAAGAAACAAAACCCATCAAATTGGAGAGGAAGATGCACAACTCTGTTATAGATAGTGTGATTGCAAAGAGTCTACAGGTGTGTTAGGGTTTCTATTGTTGTGAAGAGACACCATGACCATGGCAACTCTTATAAAGGAAAACATTTAATTGGGCCTGGTTTACAGTTTCAGAGTCTTGGTCCATTATCATCCTGAAGAGAAACATGGTGGCATACAGGCAGACATGGTGCTGGAGAAGGAGCTGAGAGTTCTTTATCTTGATCTGCAGATAAACAGGAGGAGTCTTTGTCCACACTGGGTGTAGCTTGAGCATATGAGAACTCAAAGCAGCTGACACACTTCTTCCAACAAAGCCATACCTAATAGTGCCACTCTCTATGAACTTGTAGGGGCAATTAAATTCAAGCCATCGAAACA